AAAAAAAAAAAAAAAAAAACTTCAAAGAGATTCGAAATAAGAAGGGAAAAATTAACAAACAATCTTGACTTGACGATATTTCAGATTTATTAAAAAGTATTTATTTATATATCGGAATTAGAAATTGTTATTAAATAAAATAATTATTATTGAAAACGAGAAATAGTTTTAGATCGAAAAATTGTGTGGTAGTTCAACATTGGAATTTTAATAATTATAATTCAGAAAAAAATAATTCGAATGAGTTATTAGTTAAATAAAAATAATAATAATAATTTATAGAATCAAATAAAATTTTCAAATACGTTAAATAACATAAATATTATTTTCGTATTTTTCGTTTCTATAAAAATAAATATTTAATTAACATTCAAGTTATTCTTATCTCTCTTGAACATTGCGTTACCAACGTAAAAGAAAAAAAAAAAAACAGCGGAAACATTTTAATATAATTCCACATCGAGAAATAATAACTTATAACGACGAAACTTGTTGTAAAATTTTATCGTAAATCAATAAACAATAATAGATAAAATATACGTACGCAGAAGCGAAGAATTGTAATTTAGAATTATCGTGGTATTGCTAAAATTAATTAATTATTACGTATAATTTTAATAAATTATTCTGAAAAGCAATAATCTCGCGTAAACGCAGCGCGAGCGCGAGGAGTATTGGTGGGGGGAATCGAAATGTATATAAGGGAGCGGCGTCGTTTACGAGCGCTTTTACTATTCCGACGCTCTAGAGGTCGGATGTTTAAATGAATACCGTTTGAGGAAAGAAATCGTTTTCAAATATTAACAGAGTGGACACAAGTACACTATTGTTACAGTAGTAAATATCGTACGTCTTAAATCAAAAATTTTTATTATAATTTTTTATTATCAATATTCATAACATTATATTTAATTATATATTATTTCTTATTATATTTATATTATATTTATATATATTCGATATTTATAATATTATAAATTTTTTTAACAAGATTAAAAAGATTTTAATATTGAAATTGAATTTTATAAATTCAATTTAATTATTACGACGATATATTTTTACAATATTTCCTAGTTTTAGAAATAATCCACGCCTTGAAACCAAATTTTTATGTTTGCTCTTATTTCAGTGTCATCAAGGATCATCAATAAATTCCGAATACGGCGAGATTAATTTATTTCGATATTACATCTCCGCATTATAAAAAAATTGGAACAATTCCAATACTACAGATCTAACATTGGAAATTTTTGCTCTGGATCCACATATTAATCCACAGATAGATTACAAGATTATTAAAATAATCCTTTATACTAAAAACAATGGATTGAAATAAATTTTTTGAAATTCGACCATATCAAAAAAGAAAAGAAAAAAAACGTATCAAATCTTTTTTCACACAATTCGAATACACGAATACGATAAAACGAACACAATCGATCGAGTATATAGCGCGCAGCGCGGATAATCTTACGTTCCAGCGCGATTTCCGGTTCCAGCCAGCCA